TTACTAAGATGGGGAATGCCTGGATTGTGTGTATGCATATGTCCCTCTTTCTTTATTTCCATAAAGGCATCCTATAGAACGAAAGCCCTGATGATTTCTTGCTTGCTTGTTTATCTTTACCTTCTGGGTGTCTATTTTGGCCCTCTAACAGGGACTGTTAGTTATACTGATGAAAAACTAAGCAACTTCACATAACCTTCTTGGGTATGCAGATCATGTTTTTAGGCTATATAGTTTCCAAGACCAAAGAGGATTCATGAGCCCTCTTAACCTGCAAGATGTGGAATCCTGGATCGGGGTGGTGTAACAGGCTTGGGATCAAGGGTGATTTGCTCAGCCTGATCATACTTTTATTTGTTTTGGGGTAGGGGTGGGGATATTTAGTCTGTTCAAAAAGAACTTTAGGAAACTCTAATGCCTCAAAAATTTTGGCTCATGTTGGTTAAAAACTGTAAACTTCAGATTCCTGCATTGAAAATCATGTAACAAAAATCAATATGGAATCCCATATGTAGAAAAATATCCAATGCCTGATATCCCAAATTCTTTTTTCTCAGTTTATACATACCTAAGGATAAGATATTCATGAACTATGAAAAAGATCAAGCCAATTTTTTTGTAGGATAGTAGACTTTGTATGTCTACTATTCTTCTTGAAATTATCTGCAACTTAGTTATCTACCTCTTTCTAAATTTTTACTTTTGGCTACATTACTTTTTCAGTTAAACCACTGCTGTTCCTAATTAGAAATTTAAATTACATCTGGTGCAGTTTGTACACATCAGGGGATATATTTATGTAATACTCTTAGTCAGCCAAGATACTTTTCATAAATTCAATGTAACATTTTTTTAATAGAGCGCTTATTGATGAGATGTTATTAAAAAAATTGTGCAAAAATGTACACGTGAGATGCAGTTGTGTAACTCAGAGAAACCTCACAAGGAAAATGTCTTTTCTCCTGTTTTTTTCCTCTATGGCACAGAAAGATATTTTTCTTTGTCTTGGGCTAGTCTTTCAGATGTTCCCCCTTTAGTCTGTCTCACAGATGTGTGCTGTCGGGAAGTGAAAGCAATCTCACCAATTGAGACATTTCATTAAATTTCAATGAGATAATTGAGGGAACTCATTTTCAAAAATATATATTTGTTTCAGTGGCTTAAATGTTGCTTAATCAGGAAATGAGCAGAATGCTAAATCTAGGTAGCTTAGTCTTGTACAGATCGACAGCTCGGGAGTCAGCCTGTTGAAAAGAAATGCCACTGAGGTTGAAAACAGCAAAGGCCTTTGCTGCGGGTGGAAACTAATTGGTCGAAAACATTAATAAATCATACTTGATATTAATGTCCAGAAAAAAGCTATGAGAAGGGATGAATATTTTTATCTACCAAGCATTACACTCTTCCACATGATATTAAAAAGTAAAAAGCATATCCTTAGTCTAAAGCTCCTTTTTCTTATTGCAAGAATGAGGAATAAAAGCTAAATTACTTGGCATGGCTTTCTTGTGTATACTTTAAATGTTTTAGATTTGGCATGTTCAGTCAATAAAATATTGCTGCAAGTGTTACCCAGGAATTCTGTTAACATAAAATGTGCATTACTAGGAGCACTGTTGGGGTTATGCTGAGATTGCTTTTGATTAAAAACTCTTAAATCCAGGGCTAGGAATTTTTTTCCCTCTTTTTTCCTGTACCTGTACTGTGTATGGCTGCCTGTATCCTACACACAAGGGACAGAGATTGTGTGCTATAGTCCTAAGACTAAAGATATTAGTGTGTCATAGGTAGTATACTTAATTAGATTTGATATTACAGAATATAGTCTTGGATAAACAGATTGATATTTGTTTCTAAATCTTTTCCAAAATTTCCATGGAATATTCATTCTTAGCAAACTCCTGGCAAGGAAACCTTGTGCCAATTCAGAGCCTGTCCTTAAAGACTTAACTTTCTATTTTCCAACTGTTTTTTTTTCCCTAAAGAATTTTTACTCCTCTGTGGTCTCTGTGAATCTCCTTTGTCTTGATTTTTGACTACCTGTATTATTCCACTTTAATACTTATCTGGATATCCTTGTGGTGTGCTCTATGGATTTTTTGAATTGTTCCTAACTGAAGTACTAGTTCTGTTAAAGTGGCCTGAATAAGGATTTTGGTATCTCCCCATAAGTCCCTAACATATTAAATCCATAATATGTGCTCAGTTAAGTGTTTGCATCATTCCAAAGTCTATCAAGTGGCTGAAGTTCAAGGAAACTCATATTTTAGGCTTTCTGTATTGAATTGAAAAGTTAGATGCAGATAGTTAACTGATCTATGTCAAAAGTTCTGGATTTGAGTCTCAGCCCTATTGCTTAATTAACCTTGTGATCTTTAGTACCTGGTTTAACTTCTGTGTCTTTATCAAAGGTTTATTAATCCCCAAATTCTCTTTTAGCTAAAATATCCTAAGATCCTAAGACAGTGTCTTAGTCCTTTTGTGCTGCTATAACAGAATATCTGATGATTGGTAATGTATTTTAAAAAGAGTTTTTTTTTTTTTTTTTTGGCTCACAAATCTGGTGGCTAGAAAGTCAAGACAGCTTGACACTAACATCTTGTAAGGGCCCCTTGGCTGCATCATAAAATAGATGAGAAGCAGAAGGGGAAGAGGGCATGTGCAAGAGACCAAGCACATGGATGACTTTGCTTTATAATAATACTTTCAACTAATCCAGTCTTATGAGATCTAACACATTCCTGTGAGATGGGCATTAATTGCTTCTAAGGATGGTGCTACCATGACCCACAATGCATCTTATAGGTCCCACCTCCTCTCAACACCATTACATTGGGGACCAAGTGTCAACATGAGTCTTGGTGGGCACAAACCTTTGAACCATAACAGACAACCTGATTGATCTATAGAGTGACTCTCCAAGTACGGGTACCCAGGTCAAGAATATCAGAATCACCTGGGAACATGTTAAAAATGAATCTTGTTGAAAGTCGCCCCAGAGTTACTGAATTAGAAACTCTGCCCTTTAACAAGCCTGCCAACAAGCCCTCGGGGTAATTCTGATGCATGATAAAGGTTAAGAACTGCTGATCTGCAGTGTAGGCAAATCCCTGGTATAGTGAGAAGCTCTACACCACCGTCTTAGCAGACATTGAAGATTGTGCAGTAATTTCATGGTTGGCATTTAAATCCACTCTTTCGTGTTTCAGCCTTAAGATTCCGTGGAATGGCTCAATATTGCCCCATATTCAGGTTTCCAGGTACTACACACAGAATTGCAGTTCCCAAGCTCTTATAAAGCACTGCCAGTTGAGGAGTGAAAAATCTTTCTTAGGGTGAACAAAGAATATGTAACAGATAAGGGATTAATTTCCAGTGGCAGTATCCTAATTTTGTATTCATAACGTTGTATGCATGCTAGGCTACACATGCAAAGTCTGCTGATATACATTAGGTAATTGGGCATCCAGCAGCCCCATTTGCATGCAAAGGTGGTTGCACATCTCACATTTACAAGTTTAAAATTAAAGCCCAGTTTGAAGCTGGCTGAAGGTTCACAGCTAGGAAAATAATGAGATAAGCAAGAAATGGCTTCTGTTAATCAGCACTTTTGGCCTCTACTGTTCAGTCTGTGCTAATTTGCCCTTTGAAATTGTATATTCCAGGTTGAAGAGAGAGAATTCTAAGAGTATCTGGGGTTTAAGGAAAAAAAAAACTACAGTTATGAGCTGGTTGTGATTATCCATAGTATTTCCTTTAAAACTGTACCCACAATTATACTGCGGTCTGTTACTGTGCTGTATTTTTGCTTTATGAAGTATTCGTGCTCTTGTGGGACCATGTGCGTCAGATCAAGAATGAGCCAACCCAAGCATAGACTCACAGACTGGTTTTGAGCCATCATTTTATTTTAATTCAGTTCACAATTCATCACACAGCTACATTGTGCCAGGCACTGTGTCATAGATCAGGAGCACCATCAATCAACCAGTTTCTTTCTCAAAGCTCACAATATTTTAACAGCTTTCTGGTACCTCATGGTTGAATATATTTGCTTAAGTGAAATCTTCCTTGATCTTTCTGTTTGACATCCTTCTTTGCTTCTCTGAACTTCTGATTATGCTCAACTCATATTGTTGGGAGAATGAGGAACCCAGTGGACCCAGACTTAATAAAGGTCAAAGCGAAAAGCACAAGACTGTGGCCAATTGGCTACTCAGAGGGGTCATCAAGAGAAGTTGTCTGCATTGAAAATGGACTGTATTCTCAGTTTGTGGGAACAAGAACCCAACACTGTTTCCTGTTCTTTTAATGTGGGTCACATGGAGGAGAACATCAATCTGGATTTTTCCCCCTTTTGATTTATTTTTTCCTTTTATTAATTGGTGCATTATTGTATATAAAGGTGGGATTTGTTTCCACATAGTTGTACATACACACAGTATAACAATGTGATTTGGCCAGTATCATTCTCTAGTATTTCCCTTTTCTCTCCCTTCTTCCCTCCCCCAATCCCTTTCTTCTGATCTATTGTTCTCCCTTTGATTTTTATGAGATCCGCCTCCTCCCCAACCTTTTTCTTTTTTTCTCTCTAGCTTTCACATATGGAAGAAAACATACAACCCTTGACCTTTGAGTTTGGCTTATTTTGCTAAAGAACTTTCTTAAGACTGCCAATCTTAAAAGGATTTACCCACAAGCGCCACCTAGAGGAACAATGGAGCCCTACAGTGTCAGGACCAAGAACCACTAGTGAAGCAGTTCTAATAAGACCTTGTCTCTTCATCCACCGCTTTATGTTTCTATGTTTGATTCCATACATTTATCTTACTCTGACAACTAGAGTTCAAGACCCTGGAGTACAGACCCGGATCTTAAGAAATTTATCTTCCATAATTCTCATCTGATGGTGATGATCGCTAACTAGTACAGTATGTTAGTGTATTACATAATGATAGTAGTTTCTCATGCCATTAACCATTTTATCCTCTTCATTCTAGCACAGGTGCATATACCATGATTGCACCAAATGAAAGCCGGAGACATCAGATACAGAGGAGTATGTATATTTATTGAACATTCAGAATGGTTCTTATTTTCTTTACAATTGGTTTGTTTTGGCCTGAAGTATTTATCTTTTCTGATATGTTTAGCTGCACTGGATCTCAAGAAGGATTTTCTTTTTGAATTTTAGCAGTTTTAATTATACCTTTAAAATTATTCTATTTGTTAACACTTCTAAATTTGTTTCTCTTCATTAGTAAAAAAAAAAAAAAAAAACCCTCATGACATGATTGTAAACCTTGGATTTCTGTGGGGCTTAAACAACTTTAAGAGACCAGTCTTTTTCCTAAATAGTTGAGTTGGCAGCTAATATTTTAATGGTACCACAAACACTTTTGAAACTGACAAATTAAATACTAAATATATCATGAAATAATCTTTATTATTCTTTTTTTATCCCATCCTCCTCAATGGAATTTTGCTTTAGCTTCTGTGCTCCATAATTTTGTAGATGTCCAGCCTACCCCTTGGCTGTTTTTATTTGTGCAATTTGGTTTTCTTCTCCAGATTCTTCTCCTTGAGGGCAGAGACTACATTACTCATTTTTGTGCTCCTTGTACTAAGCGTGTTTATAAATGTTTAACTGACATTTAGTAAATATAAATGGGGCCATTTAAAGGTATCTTTTAGTAGTTTCAAGGGGAGCTCAACTTTTTTCAGTTCACAATGAAGTTCTGAGACATGCTCAAAGTCAGGCTGTGGTGCTAATATTGAAATGCTATGCTCTCCTTTTTTAGATCATTAGTAGGTAATTTAATTTTGTGAATAACGATAGTCTTAAGGACATGACAAGAAAGCACCTGTCCCCACCAGAGAAATAGCCCCCCCTGTGTGGAACAATAATGGGTCAGTACAGAATACCATATGATAATCTCAGCTTTGCAGTGACTATGGAAACTGCAGGCAGTTGACCAACAGAACCTCCAAAGTTCCGGCATCTTGCAAGCTTTTTATTTAAATACTTAACGGGAATTTAAATCTCAGTGTGGTCTGGATTTTGAAATGTTTCAGAATTTTTCTTTTCTTATTATTTTCTATTGAAAAATTGTATAAATGGACATTTGCAACTAATTGGGTCTAACCTGGAGACCAGGGCATGTACTGGAGCAGTAGAACTGGTATCTCCTGGTGCCCCCTACTGTCACAAAGAATGAATATTTGGGTAATGAGCCCTGCTCCCCAGGCAGCTGGTCCCTAATACCAGCAACCAGAGCAGGGGTACCCATCTACAGTTGCAGGATCCTCACTGCCCTGAATTGCAATGAGCCTGGGGAACATTTAAAATAAAGTGAACATGGGCATCAGAATTCTCTGGGAATATGTTTACCTGTGTGTGAACCGTTTTTATTGACATGGATTCTAGTTTTATAAACATTTTCTATAGGAAATCTTTAAAATTAATTGGACATTTTAAGAATACTGGAATGGATCTGGGTGTGGTTGCACATGCCTGTAATCCCAGCTACTAGGAAGGCTCAGACAGGAGTATCACAAGTTTGAGACTAGCCTGGGTAATAGAGACTCTGTCTTAACATAAGAAGGGCTGGGACTACAGCTCAGTGGTAGAGCACTTGCCTTCTGTGTGCAAAGCTCTATGTTCAATCCCCAGCACTGAAAAAAAAAAAAAAGCCAGAATGGAAGGAAAAACTATGCACTATGCTCCTTTGTTTTGTTTCTCTGTGCAGGTACTTGGAGAGAAAGTGTCCCCAGAGTGAGCCACAAGGGGTTAGGATAGGATATGTCTTTTTTTTTTTTTTTTTTGAGCATCTTGTCCACTCATGCTAGCATGTGATTAATTGTCATCTGATGGTTGCTTCTTATACTTTGAAGTGATCAATTTGCAAATCTTAAAAACTGATGATCTGTTATTTCTCACCTGGCTTAGTTGCTGCACAAGAACTGTCCAACCTGGAGAAGTGGAAGGAGCAGAATAGAGCTAAACCAGTGTATATGGTACCAACACTGCTGGGTAAGCGAGCAAACCAGTTCCCTAAAGTGGAGGCAGGGCCACCCATGGGTCCTATAAGCACCTGTGTATGACTCTTTCTGCAATAGAGATTGGTGGCTGGGCTGCTTGGGATGGAATGCATTTAATGCTGGAACAAATTAAGTATATATGGTTGTTTCTGTCTTTCTGCAAGTAGCAAATGTGTGATGCCCCAGCTAGTGGGAATAAAGTGATGGCTTAATTGACAAATAACTTAGAACCTCTTAGATGCTCAGTTCTGAAGAAAGCTTACCTGGGGCGCTGCATATGCCCTGTCATAGCACTAGTCAGGATAAGAGGAAAAGCTATCACAGCATATTAATCATGGCAGCTAAATGCTAATGTGAAGAAAATAAGGGAGGAGTCAGTTTCAAAGGCAAGATGAAAGAGAGCTGGGAACCCAGTGGTGGGTGAAAAGACAAATGTCACCTGGGCTTTCATTCTATGGATAGAGACCTTTGGGCTGCTGGAGCCACACTGCCAGGGTGATGAATTGTCTGGTCTACCTCTGCTGGTGTTTGGATCATCAGAGGGGATGCCACCTAATGTGACTAATTCACTTCCTTTCTTCCCATTTCTCTACCACCGGCAGCTGAGAACTTAAAGGGCTGGATACAGTTTCCACAAATAGTTAACAAACATGTCTGGAGTCAGGGGCCACTTACTGTTGGATAGTCTGAGAGACATATTTTTGTTTTCTTGGATCTAGGTAAAAACAGGCTAATTTGGAAATCACTGGATGAGTGAAAGTAATAGTGTGATCCAATCATCCCTCTGTTTTTCATGCAGAGGGTTAAGCTCAAGTATCATCTTTATGCTAAATAAGTCATGAGGGATATAATCAGAAAATAGTTCTTTCTAACCTGTCCCCCCCAACCAGATGTGGGAGACTAGCCTAGCCCCTCCCATGTCCTTTGGATGGAGTGAGAAATTGGGTATTTTTGGTCTTCCTTAAAGAGTTATCAAGCTAGTTCTGGGCATGAGTCTCCTTTCAAGAATTAATGCTTACTCCTTTCTTTTTCTTCTTGTCTTTTTCTGGCACTGGGGATCAAATTCAGGGCTTCATGCCTGTCAGGTGAGTGCTTTGTCACTGAGCTTCCAGTCCTGTGTTTGGTCCTAGAGTCCAAACTCTTTTACTAATGGAGGACACCCCCCTATCCCCTGCTCCCGCTGCCTCAGGACAGGTCTATTCCAAGGAGGAAACTAGCAAATGAAGTGGGGTGGTGTGGCTGGACTTTCCTCTATTGAATGCTCTGTTCTCAGATTCTCACTCCTCTAGGGCCAAAGGGGGAATGGAAGATGAAAGAGGTGAGGTAGTATACAGAGCCCAGGTGCATGAGGACTGCTCATTCTCTCTCCTGCTTTTTGAGTTCAGCATCCCTCCTTCCCAGTCACCCACCTCTTACCTGGTTTTTCTGACAAGAGATCATATACTCTCCCACTGGCAGTGCTTGGCCTCACTGTTGGCATTTGGTAAACTCTTTGTAGGGCCCATTGTTCTCTAAGGGATGCTCACAGGCAAGTCCCTCTGAGTAGGCTTTGGATTGACTTTTTCTCTCATGAAGCCCACATCAGAAGTAAGGGACACATTGTTCCTGCTTTCTTCCCCCATATTCTGTAGATTCAGGCCACTCGTGTTCTAACTACCTCTTCTTGAGGACCTGTGTGAGTAGGCAGCCGACAGAAGCCTTGTGCCTTTAGGTTCCTGACTTTTCTAGGCATTTTTTTTTTTTACACCTAGGGATGCAGGTTGAAGTTTTTAAGTGATTTTCATTAAATTTCTGCTCACCTTGATGTGAAGATTTTTCCTTTCTCAATAACAAACAGGAAAGAAAGACATGGTTAAGAAAGACAATGTTCCTCAGATTTCTATCTTCCTTTCACAAATTCAACTTCTTTTATAGGCAGAAAGTAGTTGCCATTGAAGATTCTCCAAACTGATTTTCAGTGACTTCCTTGCAGATCTTTCCTTGGGGGCCAGGCACCTTCTTTTGGAATTTGGAGCAGTTAGTACCTCATATCTTTCATCTTAGCATAAAAATGAGCAAGGTTCTCATTTTTAACTTTCTGTTGTATGAAGTATCTAGAAATAGGTGTGTGTAGGGGATGACTGGGGACAAAAAAAAAAGAAAATTCTAGAATGTTTTAAATTTTAAGATGAGTTTTGAACAAAATCTTTAAGTACTTAGATATTTGATTTTTCTCCATTTTTTTCTATTTCTCAACTCTTTCCCCATTTCTCTACCACTTAAAATATTGAAATTGTAGGAGGTACTGAAAGTTCTTGGAACATAGATAAAAAGCTTCAATATTACTCACTGTTTCTTTCCCATTGCCCACAACAGTGATTGAAGGGCCCAAGTCAAATAGGCTTTGTATATATTTTGAAAATCAGAAGATATCTCTCTATGATATCTTTATCAGTTCAATTATTAAAAACTATCATGAATGCAAATTATTTTAATGTATTTTCTGGGATAATGAATCTTTCATAGAAATGACATGTTTTGTGACCAAAGCACCAGAGAACTATTTCTAAGAAATCTTTCTGATAGGTACATCTAGCCTGCCTAAGCACTGAGAAATGACAGTTCTTGGATGATGTAAAACTGTAAACATTTCTGGCCCCAGATCATTTTTGGCTTAGAGAGAGCAAGCCAATAATCTTATATCCATGGGTTTTTTTTTTCTTCTTGAATATCTGAAGAAAGAACAATAAATATCATGGATTGAGAATTAGTCACCATTGAGAATTAGTTACCATTGAGTTATTTCCATTATAGTTTGAAAGAGTAAGTTATGAAGTCTACTCACTTATCTAGTGACAAAGCCCTGAGGGGTTCTTGAGTTTCTCTACTTGAACTAGGTCAATAGAGGTAAAACAAGAAAAGTAGGTGAAGCATCATTGGTCATTATTTTTATTGGTTGCACTCAATCAGGAAGAATGTTCTAGAATTTCCAGAATAGGCAGTATTTCTTATTGTTAATATGGCCCTTCAGTTATGATTTTAATCTGAGTTAAAACTTTACCTGCTAATTGAAAATTTTTAGTAGGATGGTCCAGTTGAAATATGGCCTCATCTTTCTGTCAAGCTGCTTTTCTTCTAAGTAATTACCATTTTTTAAGGTCTTATTAGGATAACTGGTAATGTTTCTATTTCTGGGGGGAATGAAAAATACTAAAGCAACTTCTGTTGTAGACTGCTCCTATACTAATTAGTCCTTGGTGGCTGACTTTTCAGCTTAATATTCATGTTTTACCTTCATGGCTTTTCCTCCTCTGTTAGGGGGAAGCCAGTCGGAGACTGAAGTCAGGCAGAAACAACAACTCCAACTGAAGCAAAATAAATATCAGCAAAAGGTCAGAATCCATCTATTTTTGATTAATTTTGGCAAGGAATTTGAGGACTAGCACTCTCAAGTAACCATGAAATAACACAGTAACTTTACCAAAGCATAAAACTTTTAAGCCAATTGCAAAAGGCAACTCTCAAAATTCAAAGAGGCCAAGAAATGAGAACTAAAGAAAAACATCTAGAATTCTTATCTAAGCCATATACGTATTAGCATGACCTTTAATTAAGGGGATTTTTTTTCCTAGTTAAATTTATGTATTCACTATAGTTTAAGTCTACAATGTTTTAGTTCCAAAAATATGGTTTCCTCTACCCCAAGTCTATAATGGAAATGGTACAAAGAAAGATTTAAGATACCCAGTGATTTCTACAATGAACACTATGCTTTTTATCATCAGGAGATATTATCTGCCCTTGCCCCTCCACAAACACACAGTAAGGGAAAGGAAGATAAAGATAGATGGATATACATACATACATACCAAAGAAGAAACACACCAATTTCTCAGGCAGGAGATGTAGCCTGGCCATTCTCTGTGATCTAAGTAGCTTGAAGGAACAACCTATAATCATGGTGAGGTAGAGCAAAACAATACTGTAATTTGCCTTTCATCATAATTTTGAGTTCCAGAGTTCCAGAAGTTCAGAATGAAAAATGGCTAACTGCTTTTCTTTTTTTTTTTTTTTTTTTTGTCCTTCGTAATCTCCACACAATTTAGCTAAAAAGACAGGAATCTGTAAGAATCAGGAAGGAAGCTGAAGAAGCTGAGCTCCAAAAAATGAAGGCAATTCAAAGAGAGAAGGTAAGAAGGTGGAGAGGATGATTTGCTAGCATTCACTGAGGGCTTTGGGCCAGATTCTCTTCTAGACGCTGTCCCTATATTAACTCATTTAATCCTTACAGTAATCGGATGAGATAGATATTATCCAATTTTGCAAATGAGGAACTGACAAAGAGAGGGAAGATAACTTGCCCATGGGCCACAGTCAGTAACTAGAAGAACTAGGATCCATATCCTGGCAGACTGGCCCCAGAGCTCGGATTCTGAATCACCACACTGTCTCACCTCTTAGGTGAGTGACCAAGCTACTAATTGTATATTTATCCAGAAGGCGAAGCAACTAGTAATAGTAGCAATTAATGGTACACTCTCTTAGTTGTATTCAAATGCTGAGTTTTGCTGAATTTTCCATGTGAATGTGATATAGGCTGGCATGTCTGTCTTACTGATTTAAAAAAAAAAAGAAAAAAGAAAAGCACATTGGCTGGTTGTGGTGGTGCACACATATAATCCAGCTACTGAGGCAGGAGGTTCACAAGTTCAAGTCCAGCCTGGGCCACTTAGAAAGATCTTGTCTCAAAATAAAATAAAAAAAGGGCTGGGAATATAGCTCAGTGACAGAGTGCTTACCTAGTAAGTGCGAGGTCCTAGAGTCAATCCCAGTACTGTCCGAGTAGGGGGAGGGAGTCATTTATATTTCATTATTAGTTATATGATCTTTTCTAAACCTAAAAGTGATGTTATAGTAGATATAATTTCTGTGGTTTGGGAAAAATCTCTTAAAAATGTTTATCTGGGATGGGGTGGTGGCATGTAGTTTAGGAGAGTACTTGCCTAATGCATGCGGCTATGCTATAAACTGGTCCCCAGCACCACAAAAAAAAAAAAAAAAGAAAAAGAAAGAGAAGAAAAAGAGGAGGAGGAGGAGGAGGAGGAGGAGATGATCATCTGCTAGAGAAAAATGAAGAATGTAGCATTCTTGCATCTCTACCCTTTCTTCCTGCTCCCATTTTCCACACGGTCGGTCTTGATTTGCAATAGATTTTAAGCTAAGCATTGGAGTTTTGGGGGCAGGAGAGTGACACATGATGCCAACCATATGTGACACCTTTTGTAAGTATACGTTAAGGAAACACAATCTTTTCCTGATGTCCACCTGTCTTTCTTTCCTTCCCTCTTTGTCTTTTTTTCTTTTAAGGATTGAGTATTGGTCAAAATTTAAACCTGATTATCAAGCCACAGATGTTTTAACCAGTTACAGTTAATGAAGCTAAAAGCTGATGGAACACAAGAGAGAAAGAGTCTTCCCCTCCCCTGAGGAATTCTCTTCTTGGCTGGGAGTAAACTGGTCTTCCTTGGAAGGTGTCTGCTGTGCTGTTTGACCTGGGGCAGGCCCCCAGCCTTCTCTGAACTCTGCCTATAAAATGAGTCTGTAAGCACCACCTCTTCTCTCAAGTTCAAGAGCATCCCATTGCTGTAGACATGTGGGCTCTGTAGGTGGAGATGAGACTGGTCTTGCACATCAGGAACTATAATAAAATGCCGAAGGTATAAAAAGACGAATGTAGGAACTTTTGTTTTTAAATTTTATTCATCAGTCCATTTCCAAGTCATCTTTGTTGACAAGATTTTTTTTTTTTTTGCCATAACCTCGTTTTATTGACCTCTTTCTCTATGTGTCTCTATTCCCCACTTTTCTGTTCTTAATCCATCTTTTCCCCTCTCATTGTTTGGTCTGTGATTGTGAATGGAATCTGGTCCCCTTTATATAATCTGCCTGCATTTCAGGCAAAACTGATAAAATCATGACCAGGAACTGAATTAAGAGGCTTGCAGACCTTAAAGAATTATTATGTTGTAGCCTTTTATCCTAAAGGTCATTCTCACACCCATAATTTGCCGTCTTGTGGGTTGTTTATGGCTCATTTCTTCACAGGATTGATAACATAGTCTTTTTTATTTTTTAGTTGTCAATGGATCTGTATTTTATTTACTTATATGTGGTGCTGAGAATCGAACCCAGTACATCACACTTGCTAAGCAAGCACTCTACCATTGAGCCACAATCCCAGCCCCAGATAACATACTCTTATGAAGTCTTAATGGCTGAGACTCTGTTCTTTAATATTGAGTCAAAGCAGTATTTCCCCCTTTCTAAGTTACACCGTAACACTGACCCATAGCAGTCATTAAATACAGTGATCTCAATTGGATTGGCTTTTCTGAAATGACCAACTATACTGATTACTGGCATAAATTTGCTGGAAAGAGATGGAGGAAGAGAGAGGCCTAAACTAGACTCTTCATGTGATGGGCAGCATCAGCATCCCTGGAGTTTGTTGAGGTTCAGACTCTTAGGCCTACCACATCAGAATCTGCATTTTAACAAGCTCTCCGAGTGATTCTTTGTGCATATGCAAGTACAGGGAACATTAATTTAAATGACCTTACAAAATAAGAAACCACCTGCCCTTGTCCTTCTGTGGACTTCATCTCTGTGGCTGATGGGCCTGCACTGCCACAGTGACCGAGCCCTTTCTGTTGTATATAAATCTGTGGCTTTTCATATGAAACATAAACCTGTTTTAGTAGCTGGTGTCAGGTAGAAAAGTAGACATTAGCTATCCAGAAGTGGCATATTTCACATTGCCAGTGTGAAAATGGCCAAAGGAGATGATAATGACTGTGCTTATGGAGCACTCATTCTTTAAAATGCACAACAAATATGCACATGGATTCCAGGCTGCAGTCTACTGTCCTCCTCCCCAGGCAGAATGGCGACTCCTGGGAAGCCTAAGGCAAGGAGCCAGGCAGCTATCACCACCCAAGAGCCTCTAGCCTGGCCTCTGATTTTAACCTCCCTACCATCTTGCCCTTCAATTTTCCCTCCCTCTCAGGAAGGGTCACAGGGGACACTGGATCTCCTTCTGATGGGTTACTATCTGTGTGTGTAATAGAGGTGAGAGTGAACTGGATCATCGTATCATCCTTTGATCCTTAATGAAGGGAGAGCTAATCCTATGGGTGAGGGAAACATTTGGAATGGACATTGGGATGCTTTGCTTAAATATGCATTCCCTAAACCAGAGGATATGGTGTTATATACTTTTGGTAGTGTGTTAGAGCCACCTCAGACTGGTTCATGAGAATGGATTGTTACATTTTCAAGATTTTTATGAGTTGTCTTCACGGTAGCTTGAAACTGACTATGGTGGGAATATTTACACTACAGAAATGAGCAAACGCTACAAAGCAACCTGCTCTTTTTTGTTTCTGCTAGAGCTGGTTGTGAAGGGTTGATCAGCATTGCAATGCACCACACTGAAGGAAAGCAATGTTCTCTTATCCTCCCGTCTCCCTACATGTTCCAAAGCCTCAGAGAGCGAGGGAAGGCAATGCTTTTATGAAGTACCTGGCATATTGTGCCTGATATTTATTGATTTAAAAATAGATTATAATTCATGTGGCAGGCAGAGTAATGCCCCCTTATCCCTCCTTCAAATTATAATCCCTACCAACCCCACTGTGAATCAGCCTCCTCGTATCAGAGAAAACATTGGGCATTTGGTTTTTTGGGATTGGCTAACTTCACTTAGCATTATATTCTTCAACTCCATCCATTTACCTGCAAATGACATGATTTTATTCTCTTTTATTGCTGAGTAATATTCCATTGTGTATATATACCACGTTTTCTTTATCCATTCATTTCTGGAGGGCATCTAGGTTGGTTCCACAATTTAGCTATTGTGAATTGTGCTGCTATTAACATTGATGTGGCTGTTTTTAAGTCCTTGGGCTATAGACCAAGGAGTGGGATAACTGGGCCAAAAGGTGGTTCCATTCCCAGTTTTCCAAGGAATCTTCATTCTGCTTTCCATATTGGCTGCACCATTTTGTGGTTCCACCAGCAATGTATGAGTGTGCCTTTTCCCCCACATCCTCGCCAACACTTGTTGTTGTTGCATAATAGCTGCCATTCTGACTGGAAGTGAGATGAAATCTTAGAGTAGTTTTGATTTGCATTTCTCTAATTGCTAGAGATGTTGAACATTTAAGATTAGATGAACTCTAGGTAGGAAAAAGGGGAGGGAGGGGAAGGGATGGGGCAAGGGGGTAAAATGATGGTGGCATGAGATGAACATCATTACCCTAAGTACATGTATGAAGACACGAATGGTATGAATATACTTTGTATACAACCAGAGATATGAAAAATTGTGCTCTATATGTGTAATATGAATTGTGATGCATTCTGCTGCCATATATAACAAATTAGAATAAAAAATTTTAAAAATTCTAATCCCTAGAACATAGGAATATGTTATATTACATGGCAAAGAGGTATTAAGTTCACAGATGGAATTAAGATTGTTAATCTTACATAGGGAGACTTTCCTGCAACCTTTAGGCAGGACCAATATAGTCACAAGAGTCCTTGAAATTGAATGAGGCAGGTAGAGGAGAAAGGAGAGATGACAGACTGAGAAAGAGTCAGTCTTTCTGGCTTTTGAAAGTGGAAGGGTTCATTGGCAGAGGACTGTGGGAGGTGTCTAGAGGAGGAGAAAAGTAAGGAAACTGATTTTCCCCTGGAGTGCTTAGAAGGAATGCACCTTAATTTTAATCTGGCAAGACTCATTTTGGGTGGCTGACCTCTAGAAATGTAAGATAATACATCTGTGTTGTTTAAACTGTTAAGATTGTGTTAAATTTTTTTAAATATAACAACCATCGGAAACTACTACAACTCATGGTTTTATAATTATGTATAAATGTCTTTTCCCTTAAATCTATAAAGCAGAGACAATATTTCTAAAATATTAGGGCAGAGTAAAAGAAAGTCATTAAAAATGAAGGCAATGTATCAGAAGCAGCTACTTTCTTTGCCAGTGGATCTTGCCCATAAGTAGACAGGTTTTTGCAAATTCTCACAGCAAGATTTCGTCCAAATTTAGTGCTGTGGGAGTAAACCTCCACCATAGTTTCCCCTAATAATCACATTAATGAATGAAGTAATAATT